TAATGTTGGACTTGTGGGCTTGGGCAGCAGTGGGTTGGGATGTTTTCTTGATGTGCACTTACCCTTTATACAAAACTCTCTCTTATACATGAGTTTCTGTGGATTTGTTTCCCTAGACTAACACACCGCCCTTGAAATTGGGCAGCCCACCATACCAACCTCCAGGCCCACGGCAAGGTGGGCAATCTTGGCCATAGCCTCTCAGGTTCTCAGGATCCGAAGCATTTATCTGCCTGGGAAAGCTGCCGTGGAGGATTCCATGTCCACGTGCAAGACCTGACAGGCATCAGACTTGATGATCTGTGGTCATGAGACCCTGGACACAGTAATGATTAGTCTGATAGAATAGGAGGCTGGGTATACCTCGCGGTCATTTCCCCATCCTATAGATGCAAGGGTTGGTGTTGCCCAAACCCAGGTGCCCACCACCCATGGCCAACAACCGCCTATTTTCTCTTTATGGATCATTCAGAGGCCCCCCCAGGGGCCAGGCTTGCTTCTCGTTTGTCATCACCCTCATTCCAGGAGCTGTTTTCTTCCACTGGACCTTTGACCCGAGTGTCCTGAGTCCACCCTTCCTGCTGTCTGGATGGCTCTCGGTGGTTAACAGGACTTGGTGAGGGCTCTCTCAGATTGGTTGAAGTTTATTTTTTTCCAGGGTTTGATCAGCACCAAGTCCCCTGGCTGGAAGTGATGAACGGTGAATTCGAGAGCAAGGGTTTGGGCCAGGGGTCCTTTGACCTAAGGGTTGACAACGTGGAAGAAAGAGCCAGCACAGAACTCCTCAGAAACGGGTTCTTGGTTTCCAGGGTGGGCAAGTCTGCAGCCTACCCAGATAGGGGATCCCGTACGATAGTCCATAAGGGGATCATCCTGAATCCTCTCCTGGTGCTGTTCTGATTTGGAGAAGGGCTGTGGGGAGGCACTTAGTCTGTTGGAGCCTGGTTTCCAAGGCAAGTTTTGTGATCTGTTGTTTGAGAATTTGGTTCAATCTCTCTACCTTTCGCAAGGAGGAACATGGCGGGTGGGGAGCCAGGTCGTAGGATTCCAATTAGGACCCTGTGGCAGTTACATCATCTCCTGTCAACTTGTGAAGGGGTGGAGTCTAGCCTGTCAATAGCCAATGAGGCCTCTGTGTGGACATGGCCATCTCCTGAGGATTCTGGGAACTCCTGTCTTCCTCCCTGGAGGCAGGACACACACACTCTCTCTGCTTCATTCCTGCAAGACATCCCTGTTGACAAGCCACATGGAGCCAAGCTGATGGAGCCAGAGCCCTGGAACTGGAGGAGCCATGTGGAGACCCACGCTAGTGCTGAGAAGATGCTTCCACTGCCACTGGATCCACAAGACTTCCCACCCACTGGCCTGCGATTGTCCTAGGATCTTCCTGCATTCTGTGTCATTGCACGTGTTTGTGAGTCTGAAGAGGAATTTATAGACTGGTATCAGAGATATGGGCTAATATCAGACTTGGGAATGGATCTGGACTGGCCTGGGATGTTTTCTCAATATATAATTGCTCTTTTATATAAAGCTCTCTCTTACACATACATGAGTGTCTCTGAATTTGTTTCTCTAGTCGACCCGGACTAACACAGGATCTAACTTTTCCATGACCCCTTTCAACATTCTGGAAGGAAGTGACTCCCACGGTCTGAGTCAATATTCCCTACCAAACCAAACGTGGGCATCGTCTGCTCTAGGAGCATGTTGATAACACTCCCAGTGGTAGCAGAGGCTAAAGGGATACCCCGCCTTCCTACTCTGGACAACTCGGACAACTCGGTGAAATCCATCTGAGTGTCTGAAATGGTCTCAGGCCTGGGGGCCTTCCTCCTGCGGGGTGTCTCCCGAGGATTTGCCTGTTAGTTTTCTGGGCAGATTATGTGGCCTCCACATGACTGCTGAGTAA